CGGAACATATTGGAACTCTAGGCACTGACTGCTAGGACAGGGGGAATCTTGGGAGGCAATCCCAAAGGACTATGCAGAGGTATAGAGAGATTTACGCGGGTCAAAGATGTTGGGCTTTTGCAAATGAGGGATCCTTGTTGGGGTTGCTGCTTTCCGATTAGCTTGTTTCAGCCGGACACATGGGGGTTCTGAGATTAGGGGCCCCTAAGGACCGCACTAATATGCCGGCATACACACATATGTATGCATATACGGAACTTACAAAGGGTGTATAGAGGTCCCTATGCTTTTGGTGCCTGTTTGGGAACCTTTTACTGGGGTCCCTCCCTAAACGGATGTCTAGTCCATCCTCCAAGGAGTATGCAAAAATAGTGCGTTTGGCTTTTCCAAGATCTCTTTCTGCGTTTCAGATTCTATAGCCAGAAGGCAAACAATATCCAACTCTATACTGGGAAGTCTAGCACCCTGTTCTGATAGGGCATAGCAGCTCTCTTCCGACATGAAAGACAGGATCTCTGGAAAATATTCTGTATCATACAAGTCTGGGAACCTATGTGTAGCTGAAGCATCTACTTCCAATGCTGCAAAGACCGGGTCAGTAGGTCTGAACTCCACCATGCATGCGATAGCAAACTGCTTGGTAGAACTGCCAGGGCTTCGGCAATAGTACTTGCAGGACCACGGGGCCTCCACAAATGAGGTGAATACTGGGCATAAGTGGGCTTGCAGGGGCTACAGGTCTACTTACGAAGCTGAAGCCTGTGGGTGAAGACACGTCCCCTTCATCCTGCTAAACCGCTTTAATGCGGAAGCGCTGGGTACTTTTGCCATCTGGGGTCGTACGGCCCTAAATACAAGAACCACAACCTTGACTTAAGCCGTCGGTTCCTGTCAGGCCCCTGCAGACCACATCTATTGCTGCTCCTACTGATTCTACTCCGCTTGCTGTCTCACTCAAGCTTCACAAGAACAAGGCACGAGCAAACCAAGGGGGTATGGGAGGTGGCGATGCGTATGAGGGCTATGCGGTTAAACAAATTCCCAGTGAAGACAATATGAGCCTTATTATGGTTGCTGATCTAATCCATACCCCCGTCCCTGACCCCCTTCCTGACCCCCATCTTCCGCCCACAAAGCCTAAATACCCTAAACCCTCAACCCTAGACCCCTGTGCCCTGCATCCGCCAACTACAAGACGGTTGGTAGCACACGGCAAAGGCCAACCGGCCTCTGCTTCTTCGATCTTCTTCTCGCACCTGTAGCGCTTGGAGGTTCCGGAGGGGGTGGGGAAAGGGTTTAGGAATAGAAACTAATGAAAAAGAGAAAGGAAGATACCGCATCAATTGTGTAATATTTGAGGTGTCAGGGTTCCAGGTTTTAGGTCAGAGGACTTAGTAACCAGGTTTATCATGGCGATAGCCGGGGTTGCTGTTTTACTTTTTCGAGGTTTTGAGTACACTTACTAAGCCCCCCTGACCCGCCAAGTGGGGGTTTCCCAAGACTAGCAGCAGGAAAAAAGGGACTATGAACTCAGTACAGGGCATGGCAGATCTCGCCAGGGTTTGTACTACTTGGGTGCCCGAACCATTGCAGCTCTTAGCAGCTTCGGGCCTGGGTCTTTAGCCTTAACGCTTGTAGGGCTAGGTGGCTACCCAATTGCACGGCTTAGGTTCGGACTCAATCTCCGCGCGCATTCCCCCTATGCCTCTCAGTGCTTACATATGTCAAGATTTCAAACAAACAGCGAATTGTCAGGAAGAAAGGTTTAGGGTCTTAGGGGAACAGCTACAAGCCCAGGCCAAACTGACAGATGCTTAACTCCGCGAACAGTCATCCTGTATATTCCTGAATAGATTCCCCCTAAAACCCTGTATATTCCCCTACAGGTCCCCTCCAACCTCACTTTAGTCCGTAGCTCATCTACATGTAGAACTCAAAAGGGCCTTGGTGCCTATGAGGCCCGGGGATCCCCCAAAAACTGGACCGTGGGCAGGAAACAATCAGGGCTTAGTGGAGACCAACCTTGGTGTTGAGCAAAAGGCCAAGCACCAAAACTTTGACGCCAAGAGGTTATAGTCTTCCTGTAGTAGGTAGTATATGAGGTATATGGGGAGCTTAAAACCATATCATATCTACTTAAGGGGGACTATACTCCTAGTGGCGAACGCACAGGTCGCAGATGATCCTTCTGGGCCCCACATGTGTAGCTGGACTTTGGACACGTGGGTTCAACTTAAGCTGGAGCCCTGAACCTTAAAACATCTTTAAACCAACTTTATAACTTGCTTGAACCCTAAGGGTCCAAGGACCCCAATACTAGGGCTTGAGGTCCCAAACAAATAGCATTCAGAGTATAGATTTGGGCTCAAAAACCACATTATTTGAGTCCTTGGACCCTTGGGGGAAGGCTACCTTGCCGAACCAAGTCAGGCACTCCCAGAGTGAAATTCTATGCAGGAAAGCCGTAGCGCAGGGCTCGGGGTACACGAGCTATAGCAGCTGCCCTTTCACTTTTTACAGCTAGGCATGCTCCACCCACATAGCTCCTCACCAATTACCCTTCACCCTATACCCTTTATCCCACATAACTCTTCTGAATTACGTGCACAATCGCCGCATGCTCCCCAAGACCTCCTGCACATGTCTATGTTAATTTGGGAACCATAATTAACGGCTTAGGGTTCGGGGATTTAGGGGGACCAGAAATATCATCTCAAACCCTATGAGCTCGGAAGCATCTTAGCCCTAGCCCAAATAAGTAGAATAAAGCCGGGGCTACCTGGGGTTCGTATATGATTTATGGGGTTGTGAGTATATTTGCTAAGTGCCCCTGACCCTCCAAACAATGACCAGAATCCCAAACCTAGTGATATTAGGGCTATGTCAGGACTGTTTTCTAGATAAACCACCATCTGGGGCGAGGCCAGATGAAGTAGTGACAGCTTACCCCATGCCCAAAATCTTAAACCCTAGCCCACAATCCCTGGCAAACACTATACCCAAATGCTGGCAGATCTGCTGAAGCTCGGTATCCGCAATCTTTCTCGCATAGGCCTTGCTACAGAAGCGGGAGAAATGGTTGCCACTTCTATCCAGGCCTTGAGCACAAGAATGCCCTTCGGGCATGCACGTTACTATTGCAACAAGAACTGCTGGAAAAGAATCCCCAAAGTCTGCAACATAGTCTACCGAAGCGCAGGTAGCTTAGGTTGGGTAACCCCGTTTGGATGTTTTGGTAAACATGACTTGTATAGCCCTCACAGGCCAGAGGATCTGCTTGAACTCTAGAACCATGGTTTGGACCCTCCTGCATGGCCCTAATTGCCACCACCGCTGATGTTTCAGTCAAATAAGAAAAGCGGGTCGCACACGGCACACGTCGAAATGTTTCAGGGATGCAAAAGTTCTGTGCGCAGCTGCTGAAGCTCCGTAACTCTACTTAAGCCCAGCCCCCTGCCCCCACCCCAAACCATGATGGACCGTCAGCACTTTTTGTTTCCCTACTTGAAGGTTCACGTTCCTTGATAAGTTGTGGTTCTGGGAAGGGGGGTAAGGTAGCACAACTTCGCATTGTCTTTTCCATTCCGCTGTAAATCTTTCTGTGTCAGGGGAGGAGTTTAGCTTAGGCTGCTTCAGCCCTGATCTTCATCCGCAAGCGTGAAACTCGGCCACCCCAAGCCAGAGATGCAAAAGCCCTACACCCTTCCTAGACCCTCAAATACCTTCTGTAGGGCCGAACTACCCAGAAGTAGGATCTACATAGATCTTATTCGAAAGTAGGTGCGGGGTCCTGGCTTGTCCTACCTATAAAACCTTGTTTATCCAGCGTCACGGACTACTTTAACCCAAGTGACAGATGATGCCGGCAAAGTAGGAATTGAGCTATACTTATGGCTTTCTAGGTAAGTTCTGACTAAACTCCGAGTTGACAATGGAGAACTCACAAATCCCAGCACCTCATCCCTGAAGCAGCAAAAATCAGCACCCCAAATCCTGAACTCAAAGCCACAAGCCCGAATCCCACAAAGCGTTTTCACCCTAAACCCTACATAACCCGTTATAGTAGTTTCCATCTTCTTTTCCATTCTCCCCATATAACCCCAAAATCATGGGAGATCCTGCTCTAAACCCGAAAAAACAAAACACCTAAAGAGAAAACCCTCAACGCCCCAGAAGACTAAAAGCCCCCAAGCGTAAAGCGCCTCCCGAAGGCTTTGGAGCTCAAGCTCCAAGTGCTTTTTCCTTAGAGCAAGATTTGAAGGTTCCTCAAAGTGGTGCAGTGGGGTGGCCTTCTTGGGGATCGCAAGGGTTGTGGGGGATTGCAAAGGGATTCTGAGGGGTCTGTGGTAAGGATGACGGTGGGACTATCTTGACAATACCTACGGAACCTTGTAACCACATTTTTTTGGGTTGTATAGGAAAACCAGGTTTTTTTAAAAAAAAACCTGGTTTTTAAAATCCACCTCATAACCAGTTGTGCATGTTATCATGTTGAATGCCCAGGGACCTCGAAAACACTTTGTCCAAGGAACCATTTGTAGTTCATCAAACAAGACATCCCATGTTATAAGAAATCCCACCGTATAAGAAATCCAACCTTCTCAAGCGATCCCTCTTTCAGAAGATATATATATATATACACTCTATTAAAGCCATGCAAGCATTCCGAAACTGAGGGCCCCAAAGATAGATCTGCTGTAACAGGTTCTCACCCTAACTACCCCACCCTGACCAAACCTCAAGCAAAGACAAACCAGGAAGTCCGAAAGGCCCGGCACGACCCTGTGAACCCAGAAAGCCCGGCAGAACTTAACCCCTTAATTACCTCAACAAGCCATAAACGCCTTTGTGCTGCATGGTACATCGTGGTGGTACTGCCGCTGATCTGCAAGCTCAGCTACTTCGCACTTTTCAGGGATATATATATATGCTATGAACATATATAAGCCATTGAACCCTATAAACCCTATAAACTTCTTTGGGCTCAAAGATAGACCAAACTAGTCCTGAGCTTTGCGGATCAGGTCAGCTTCTGTCCAAGCTGTGTGGCACGCAGCCAGATACCGCAAGAAGGTCCGGTTGATAGCGGTCCTTGCATTTACTCTGCGGCTCAATCGAGACGCTTTGCCTACCATGTCCTCATCTTGTTGGCAGGCTGTAGCCAGTGGGTTCAGCGAGTAGCCCTCTCGCTGGGCATTGTCTCTTGCTTCCAACCAGAAGTGATGCAGCCAATGCAATTTCGGCAATAACGGATATAGCATCCTCTTGTCGTTGTAGGCCTGGACGGCGAGGTAATAGTAGACCTTCATAAAATCCATGCCCAGCTCGCCGACACGCATTGCCTCGTCCCTGGTCAAAAACGCCTCTGCTCTGAAAAGCAATCCAAACAGCTCATTCATTGCAGAGGCTGCCCTGGAAGCTTTTCCCAAATCGCTGTCCAGTGGCACCTGAAGCTCCGACAAGAAAACGGGAAGCCACCTCATGAGATTCGTTGTGAGGGCTCCCTTCTGCCACGTCCCATTGGGTCCCAATTTGTCCTTTAAGTGAACCGTGTCAGCTGTGATCTTCGCCAGGTGGGTCTGCAGCTTGTGTTGGCGACAAAACCGCACGTAAGAAGCAGTCATGGCAGCGAAACGTTCATCATTGTTGCTGCCATTACAAAGCGGCAAAGCCAAAACCATGGTGCACGCTAAGAACGTCCGGCCTATTCCTAAATGGAATGTATGCCAGATGTCAGGTTGAAAGAGCGTAGCTGGATTTGATGCTCGGCACGGCAACTTCAGCAGCACTGGCTCCTGCGCCCACGGTGTCTCTGCGCCAACGGACTGCCACCATCTGGGAGTGAGCGTGGCAATCTCCTCATACGGCATGCTTTCGCGACCTGCTAAGCAAGCGTGACAAATTCCCTTGTCCTTGGCTCTGCTGTGACCCTTCTTGGCAGCAGTGTTAAAGTTGCGGAGCAGTTTCCCCGCCTTCACCAGATAGGGCCAATCCCCTTTCACTCCAACGCAGGCTACTCGATGCGTGCCATCAGGGCCCTCCAGTCCTGTCTCAAAAAGATCAAGCAGATCCTCAGTCAAAACCTGCAAAACGTTGTCATACAACGTGGGGTCCTCCTCATAGCACTTCTTAGGCAGCATACTGCACACGAAGCGACTTGTAAACGTGTTGCCAAGGTAGTTGACTCGCAGGGCAACATCGTTATCAGCACCACTTCTCGAGCGTTTTCTCGTCTTGCCAGGTGTATCTGGAACTGCGAAGCCAAATCCAAGAACGGATTGCCCAGCTGTCACCATCCAGGCCTGGCGCTTTAAAGATCGTCCCTCATCACCGTGCAGAAAAACAGCGACTGTGCGAGAAAAGTCTATACCAGGGATCTGAAAGATCTCGTGGTCTGGCCAAAGTCCTCTCAGCTTCGTCCAAAAAGCGCTCCACACCTGCGGTGCGCCTGCGCGGCTTGAGTCATCAAGGCCTGCCAGGCGATGCCACAAGCCTTTCCGAAAGATGAACTCAAACCAGCTGCGGGGCTTGATCCAATCCAACGTCTTGCCTGCTTGACTCATGGGCATCTGACTCAAGGGAATGTCTAGCCGTGTCTTCTGCTTAGAAATTTGCTTTTGAGCATCCCTCTCAGAATGAGTCAAGCTAGCTCCAGCCCAACCACTCAAGCCAGCCCAATGAGCTTCCACTTCGCCCACATCACTGGCGACCGCACGGGCCGTCTTGATCTGAGCTCGGCAGCTGGCCTCGGCAAACACGAGGTCAAGCGCAAAAATTTGAATTGAGGCACGTACTGTGCTTAGGTGAGTTAAGCATGGGCAACTCGAAGCATGACATGTGCTGCAGTGCTGCACAGCTTCTACAGGGCTCTGCACTCGCAAAGCTGGTTTCCATTTTTGCGCGACAGCCTTTGTCATATCTGGCACAAGCAGATGATCGCAAGCGTGGCTCACGCTCATCCTTCCTTAATTCTGGGGTACTCAACTGTTTATACATCGAGGGGCTACATACCCTACGCAGGCTCGAATCGGAAGGAGTTGCGTGGCCACACAGTGGGTCTACTCCGGCAGAAACAAATTACAAATTGCGAGGCATCAAATCCTGTGGGTACGCAGCTCCCCAAAACAACTTGGTTTCCTGAAGCTATGTATCCTGGAACTGCTTCGGTTCATTTGCTTCAACAGAACCAAGAAAAGGAACGGACGCTACTTCACAGGAGGGGGTACCTTGAAAGACCTGTACACCACATAGGTGAGAAATGGGCCGTCTTCATTGGATAAATGTGTCTGGATGTTATCGCCTCCGGAGCGAATGTTGCGACAGCCTGGAACACCTGAGCTGTTTTCGTGGCTTGCTCGCGCAAAAAAAACCCGACCCTAAAACATGTACAAATCCTTCAAGACTTATATATATATATATTAAATCTAAGTAGCAGCTCGATCTGGTATCGATCAGAGATGCTTGGCCTTGGGGTTTTGGAGAAAACATAAGTCGCGCCCTACATATTCTCCTCCTGGAGCGGCTTGAGTGTGTATGTCCCATATGTATATATATATATCTATCATATTGTACACATATATACATCGGCAGGGATTTAGACATGTGCACACAAAAAGTACCCGCGTATGCTGGTATTTGTAAGCTTTGTTGGGATGGAGGACTTCGGGTTTTACTTGGGAAAAGAGAGAGAGCAAGAGAGGAAGAGACAGAGAGAGAGAGAGAGAGGAGAGACAAAGAGCAGAGAGACAGAGAGAGAGAGAGAGAGAGAGAGAGAGACACACACACACACACACCGAGGCACATCCCAGGGATTCAGCGTGAAGTTGGCTTATAATTCGATGGAGGTTTGCTAAGCAGGATTTTGGCCAGGATCAGGGGTGGAAAGTTAGTTGGGGAAATAAACAACCTTCAAGTATATAGATCCCAGTCCGAACCTTAATTGGTACATTTAAAAATCTGGTATGGAGGCTGTCTACCCCGCTGCAAGATGCCAGTATTCCCCTTCAACAGCTTGATGGCTTCAAGTATACAAACCGAAGCATTGCAATACTATGTTCTGTTTATATCAGCCACAGAACCTGAGAAGTGGCTGATGAGAGCAGCTTCAAGAAAAGCTGGGCCAATAGGATCCGGGGCAGCATAGATGACCAGCATGCGCTGAAATCTGTCAATACCACGCTTGTAGCCGTACTTCGGGTTATGCCAGCGAAATGAAGCGTCATGCGTGATCACAAACTTGAAGATTAACGGTGATTCCCTGGATCGTAGATGTTCAAATGTTGTCATAGCATGTTGAAGAATGGCCCCTGCAGTATCGTTCGGTCCTGGTAGCTTGCAAGACAAGTAGGGGTCTTCCTGAATCTTGGTAAATACTTCCTCGGTTCGAGGTAGATACTTAAGATGCTGCAATTGTTGAACCAAATCTCGCGGATTCATCCGTGTCTTGGTACAAGAACTAGACTTCGAGCTGGGTGTCGGAAGCTCCCGGCTCAACATCTTGACTGCTTCTTTACCCACTGACCGGTGTTCCCACGCATACGGCCCATCACTAGCCTGCATGCAAAGAAACAAAACAAGTGTTGCAAGGGATCAAAAACATTAACATTCTCAAGCTTGAAATTAATTTCGAGCGCCAAAATGTAGCTAAGGGGCTGGGCGATGGCACGTCAGTAAATCTAGGATCTCATCATCCGTTGTCTCATCAGCTTGCGCACAGCCATCGGCCATGAGCGCATTTCAAAAAAAAGGTTACACTGCATGAAGGTTCGATATATATATATATATAGATGTATATAGATGATTAACCCAAAAATGTTTCACCATATATGTAGGTTCGTGGGGTTAGGACAGTGCTTCTATAGAGAATGCTAGCTAGCATCTTGGGATTTTGGGAGGCTCGAAACGGTAGATCAGGTGGAGCGATATATGGGTTGGGTGGCAGGAGCTGGTATCTGTTCCCATCTGCCCGCTATAACGGAGGGTTTCAAAACTCTACAAGATTTGGTTTATACGGTGTATATATCTAGGGGCGCATAGGGCTTCTAGGGTGAATATAAGGAGAAATCATGAGCCTCAAACGGGTGGATCATTCGGACATGCGTTCTGGAAAAAAATCTCATCAAGTATAAACCTACCATATATATATATATAGAGACCGATGCTTCAAAGGATCGAAGGGACCCAATCGCCTTAAAGTACCATACAAAGGCTCGTAGCACTGGATGGTTACATGCACTCGGGTATTGTGAACTGATCTTGTACGTACGGGATCCGTATGGATGTGGCCACATAACCAACACCACATCAAGTGTTGAAGGTCTATATAGGAGTGCCCCATATATAATTAAGCCTATACATCCCTATACGTACTTAATATAACTAGAATTAACTCTAGAAAACCCTATATACAATTAAACCCTCCAAACCCTAAAGCCCTATAAACCCTCAACCCTACAGCAAATCTATGCCCAACCCCCAGTAAGGATATGGCGCCAGCACCGATGTTTGCTGCCAGTTGACGCGCTGTGGCGCCGACGCCTGGCTTCAAGATTAAGCTTCAGGTTGCTGAAGGTTCTCGATCTGGGCTTTGCGTAAATGGGTGCAGGCTGGGTTGGACATGCGAAAGCAGGGCAGCTTGACAGATTTTTTCTTGAAGCGGCCCGGGCAGCGTGTCAACGTACACACGCCCAAGCAGGTCTAGGATGCAGAGGCCAATCAAGAGGCCGCGGTCAAGAACACATTGCGTGATTTAGACATATCTGGCTACTTGTCCATGCAGTAGCCGAGGCAAAGTAACTCATTCCAGCATCTCAAGGCATGCCTACAGAACCTCCTCCAAAAGCTACCGAGGGCTTAAACATTGAGTCCGACCTGGGCACCTTACACCGATATGTGGCCTGAGTGGTCTATATGGGTCTAGATACGCTTGACTGACAATGTCGATCTGTAGGCAGGCCCAAACTGGCCGTGATAAATCCCCAAAACTCAGTGATATCGTCACTAGAGAAAATTTCAGGACTCCTCATCTGTCTTCTTCTTGGCAAAGTGGCGCTTTGCGCTCCTGAACAAGTTGATTGTTTGATGCTACCTGCTTACCCGAAGGTAGGCAAACTGCTGCAACACAGGATGATGATTCTATGGGCTGCTCCGGATCTTCGCTTCGTTCTGGACCACCTTCGTGCACCTAAGATCCAGAACATATATATATATATGTGGTCTGAATAGTTGGGCCTTTCGTTGAAATTTGGAAGACGCGAAACGTTTATAGAGTTTAGGGATCGGGGTTTAGGGTGTAGGGTCTTCCAAGTGCCAGGGCACTTGAACGTAGCTTCGTTCATCAGCTGGTTGGACTCGTGACGCCAACTTAATTCTGCCGGGGAAGGGATGTACAGGTATACTACATGGAATGCTCTACAGGGTATTCGGGATAAATTCTTGGCTGGACTCCATTGAATATACTGGACCTGCTTTCATCCAGATGCTCAAATTAATTAGGCAGCTACATAAAGCAAGTACAGATCGAAACCTTAGTCTGCCGGCCATGTAGTGGAAACTTAATTCGAGATTCATAATGAGGTTTGCTCCAGGATTGATATATAGGGTTTAGGGTTTCTAAAGGGTCTATATACATGTATAGGGTTATACATATATTTAAATATATAGGGTTTTTGCGGTTTAGGCTTCAAAGGGTTCCTGCGGATGTATCCTATATATTACTTCTATACTAGAAACCGATTCTAGAATGTGTTTTAAGAATGCACATGGCACTTCTATACTAGAGATGCGACCACGAAGGCAACTTAGGGGTTCATAAGAAAGCATCATTTGGAAGTTGAACCAGATACACAACCAAAGGCTTTCGTGATTTTGATGGCCCGAATGACCCTTCAGTGTGTGGATTCCCCATCTCTGTAACCCGTCTGGACCCAGCTGGAAGCCCGCATCATGGATGAGACACCATGAACGGACCTCTAGGGCTGCGTATACTATGTATATGTACATATATATATATATACACATATTTCTACAATTATATAGATATAAGGGTATGTAGGGACCCACAACATAAGGCAACCCTTGATGCCCGTCATGGTGTTGCTACATGTAGGAATTTCCTACACGGGGAACAATCGTCCAGTTCCAACACCGGCAACCTACTAATATCTATGTGGGAACACAACACGATAGCCACATCTAACATCTTTCCCTCAAACCTCAGTGATGATCAATATGATGATGATGACGACGATGACGACGATGACGATGACAAGGCTGTTCTTTGGGGCGTAGCTTTGTGGCGGCTGAATTCAGGAGGAGGTTTGTCAGGTCAATCTGGGAACATAAAGGAGGGTTCGAGACGCTAAAGGGCGACCTTGAGATCATACAAGCCTTTGCAACACCTTATAGAAGTTGCACCCATGGGGACCAATACTCTTAAATTGATTGTTATGGAGTTCGATCATTTCCTGCCAACGCTACCGGTGTACAGCTTTGATAAACTGCCATGTTGATCAGATTGGGTTCCACAAGCCTGAAGTAACCCCCACGTAGCTGGAACGTTGCTAGTCTCGCATAAAAAAAATACTCTAGAAAGTGCCATGCTACAATCTGAGGCTTCGATGATGGCGGCTATGAAGAAGCAACTCAAGCTACAGCAGCGGGTCGTGTTCGGGATTAAATTTATGTTTTGTTGGATGGGAGGTTTGAACTTGAGAATGCCAAGGCGTCTTTTGATCATATCCCTTTTATATATACATATGTAAATCCATCAACCCTAGATATGAACCCCAACCCTGTCATACCCCGGGCTACTATACATATACATACATATAATGTGTATATGGGCTTTATATACATATATACCAGATTCCCTATAAAAATCCTGTATATAGTTTAGATCGATGCCTTGGAAATCCATACAACCCTCCTTTCAGCGGGCTCCAGGTTCAGGGCCTCAGATGCCTCCAAAATGCTTCCCTCACATCCCCAATCCCTCCCACACATTCCCATATATATATACGCCTCCCAAAACCTGTCAAGCCCACAACCACAGGCCCCAAAAGCCCACTCCCAAGAACCTCTCTCATGCACGGGCTTAACACGCTAAACACCCGAAACCTATGACCCTATAGATCCGAAAAACCTAAACCATCTCAACCCTATCAACCCTATATAGAAACCCTACAGAAATAAACCATGCTAAGCCTAAAAACCCTAAACTTCCTAACCCTGATCCGCCCCACCTAGCCGAGAAAGAATGGTATATCTGCAAACATGCTATCCTTTGGGCTTTGAAAGGGCTAGACTTCTTAATGGGGATACTCTATATGAGGTTTGAATTAATTCGCTACTACAGAAGATGAGGCAAGAGGCGCATCGGGGAATCCAGTTTGCTCTCCCTTGGCCAAATGCGAGCTCAATCGATCATACTCCCCATCCAGCACGGTAAGGTCATTGTCAATGGCCTCGCGTGACCTGCGGTTCTAAATAGTCTGGATCGAAAGATAAGGTTCAATGTAATTTGGATCCAGCCCATGCATGAGGTTTATATGGGCCACATGTGTATATACGTACATATATATATATATATATATAGGGTTTATAGGGTTTAGGGTTTGGGTTTTTTTTGGGTTCAGCATTTGAAGTTCAAGCATTGGCCTTGCCCACGAAACTTATGACCACGAAATTTATGATCTTGGCCACAAACCAATTATTGTTATATAGCATCTATATATATATATAAGATAGATAAGAGGTTTATATAGGGTTTAGGGTGCAAGACCTGTCCTGGAGCAATCAAGGTTGTCCCACGGAGGCTATATGAGAAAATGCACTGCGAGGGACAAAACATATCAAGAATGCGCCAGATATTCTTCAGGAGAAGTGGTCGTACAAAAGCTTCATGGGAGCGCTCAATTCTGGGCTCATACTGCGCAGAGTTCCTGAATGGGGCTAATAACTCACCATATAATTCTCCTGAAGTAGAATTAATTCTACGCATGAATGATCACCCCACACCAGATCCACTGACTTTGAATAACCCCGGCTTGGATGCCATCTCACAGGTGTAGTTGCGGGCAAGCTCGCTGGAAAGCGAGCGAAGCTTAGCAGTCTTTGTGAGTAGCGAATCGACGTACTTGCGAAGGGCGTCCTTCCCACGGTTGGCCTGCCATACGGAAACAGGTCGAGGTGTGATCCGATCAAGTTCTTTAGATTTCTTCCACACTGCATGGGGTACACAGGCCTTATTGGAGATTACTTGGGACGGCTAGTTACTTTTTTCAGTTCTGGAGATGCGCGTGACGTTTGTTAAATCTGTAGCGAACAGAGCCCAGAATCCGGTGGCACCTATACACAGGCAAGATCCATGCTAAGTTGGGGCAACTATACGCCTTATACTGGGGTTCCCTATATATGAAATCACTGAGGTAGGCAGA